ATATATATATATATATATATATATATATATATATATATTATAAATATATAAATATATAAATATAAATGTATATATTTTTTGAATCTTTCTAAATGTAAAATGCTTTGACTGAAATGTACGGCAAAGAAGACCACCCTGTTCAATGTTTTTTCATGTTTATAGTCAATAAAATTTATATTTTAAAAAAAACCAGTAGGAATTGTAAGCCCTTGATGGAACCCTGCCCAAAAGATTGCGAGGAGATTGACTTAGGGAGATCTACTTGATTTATTCCTCATTAGTTTATACCTGTACTAATACCTGTTTGGTTCTCTTTCAGCAGGCATGGGGAATCAGGTAGAGAAATTGACCCACTTAAACTACAGAGAGGTTCCCACGGCCGACCCAGCCGGCATGGACCGAGATGAGGGCCCCCGAATTGGAGTTTCTTACATATTTTCCAATGATGATGATGATGTAGAACCTCAGCAAGACCCAGCAGAGCTCGTCGGGGAGCACCCTGCCTCACAACCCTACGACCCGCAACTTCACGAAGTGGAATGCTCCATTTATTACCGTGACGAGTGCATTTACCAGAAAAGTTTTTCTGGTGACCACACCTTGTCTGGTGATGTGGGGGGTGGGGGTGGAGGAGGAGGGGGCGGGGGTGGGAATTTTACCACCTACACTCCAGAAAACCTACTGAACAAGTGCAAAGCTGGCGATCTGATAGAATTTGTGTGCCAGGCCCAGTATCCTCACTGGGCAGTGTACATAGGAGACTTCCAAGTTGTACACCTGCACAGACTTGAAGTGGTGAACAGTTTTCTCACTGACGCCAGCCAGGGCCGACGGGGGCGCATCGCGAACCACTTGTACCGCTACAAACCACTAAATCCCGCCACTGTGGTGCGAAACGCCCTGGATCAGGTGGGTCGCAAAGACCAGGATCTCAGCTGGAGGAACTCCGAATGTTTCGCCGCCTGGTGCCGTTATGGCAAGCGGGAGTTCAAAATTGGGGGCGAACTGCGCATCGGGAAGCAACCTTACCGGTTGCAGATCCAGCTGGGAGACAAACGCAGTCACACGCTCGAGTTTCAGAGCCTGGAAGATCTCATTATGGAAAAACGAAGGAACGATCAAATTGGAAAAGCGGCCGTCATCCAAGAATTGTCCAGCCATCTCCAGGCATCCGAGGCCGTCAACGAAGAGAGTGGTGCTAATGGCAAACCAGGTGGCTGGACTGCTACTGAGTAGCCAGTCCTTGCACAAGTCTGGCTGCTTAACCTTGGCGATGGATTAAAACTGAATCCTGTGAAATTGAGCTGTTATAAGCCCTTTTGGGCTTTTCTAGTGCAGGTTGACTCCAATCCCATGTGAAGGAAAGGGGCAAAGCTGATTAAAGCATCGGTCCTTCAGCACTTAACTCCTTTGGTGATTGCTTGAAGCCAGCAAGTTTGTACGGTTGAGGGTTAAATCTCAGGAACATCTTCCTCACTCGCTGTTTTAATGCGTTAAGTCTCTCTCTCTTTCCAAATTGCACCCCAGTTCCTCCTGCTTTCAGCTTCTTGCTTGTTTTCAATTGGACAAGGTCCAGCATTAGTGAACGTAACAGGATTCAACGTTATAGCAAGGTCATTTCTCTCCACACCCCCCCCCCCTTTTTTTTTTTGCTTTACCTCCTACCCTGTTTTGGCATTTCTGGAATCTCTCCCTTTCGTTCTGCTGGTTATAGCCTTCCATATCTCTGTGAGGATTTAATGGCTAAAGTATTGTGCATTTGGAGGGTGACAGGCTTGGGTTGCATGCGCTGAAGGATTTGGAAAAGTTGCAAAACAGAAGTAGCATTTATTGGTTGTGGCCGAAGGGCCTTTTCTGGATGGTGTGGAGGAATGTACACTCTTTGCACAGAAGTGGGATTACAAAGTGGAATTACCTTGGAATAAGGGCTGTGGCTTTTCATTTAGGAACCAGCTACCAAGAAAGTTTTTTTTTTTTGCTTTAATTACAGTTGAGTTAAGCCATGGCCAGCCAGCCTTTTTATAAGTTATTGAAGTGTAGTGGGAAGGCAGCTAAACCCTCTTAGCACCAGTGGTTACAGCAGGATTAATTTGCTACAAATCCAAGTACTGTTTGGGCACATTATGTATTGTTGGAAAAGGTGACACAAGAGACAGGCAACGTTTTTGAAAATGAATTTTATTCCTAGGCAGTGAAGCTGGTTGTTTTAGTTTTACTCTTAAATGCCTGAGGACTAGGCTGTTAGTGCATTGGGGGCGGGGGGGGGAATCCTTTTTCAGTCTGTTTTATCATATTTCTTTATGTATAAAATCATTGATTTCAGAAGCCCGTTTGTTTTCATTCTGTGAGTAAGGCAGCAAAACACATCCTTCCTATTAGCAATAGGGGGGGGAAAAGGAAAGAGATGGTACACATTGTTCATTTTCAGGTTCGGAAATTTCAGTCTTCAGCCCCTCAAGCTGATCTCTGTTGATGCCTTCTTTTTTCTTGGTGGACTTTTGCTTCTCTAGGGGTATTGTGAACGCAAGGAAGAGAATGCAGCTGTTCCCCCTTGTAGAAATGGAGGAGATTCAAAGATTTGCCTTGTTGGCAAGTCACAATTATAAAAAAGAGAACTGGTAAAAAGTTCTGCTTGGGCATTATTGCTGCTAACATGAAACTGCAGCTGTGTAGTTGCCAATCCTATTTTTTAAAAAAACTCTTCCACCTGCATTAACTAGGAGGAGTTGCTTTGTAGCTAGGAATTTGTTATCTTCATTCCGATCAGCAAATAGAAGGATCAATAATTGTGTGTTTTGGTCAACAGACTGTTAACTTCCTTGCTAATGGCTGATTTCTCATAAAAGCCTCTGATTTGTTTTAAGTAGTAAAATTGCACATTTGGAAGCAAAGGTGTTTGGTGTAACTAAGCAGCATTTTAAAACATGCTTAGCAATTATTAACCAGCATTTAAAATAGACAATATTCTCGGCTACCTCTTCATTGCAAAACCATATAAGAGATGATTTTCAACCGCACCCAACCGATTCCCACCTTTGCAGAGGGTTGAATTGATGTTCCGGTGGTTGGTTATCCCTCTAGAGTAAGTGACATATGGATGGTAGGATTGATAAGTGAGGGAAAGACAGTGATATAGAAGTCTTGCTCCTTTTTCACTTTGTACTTCGTTTGTTCCAGCGGTGGCTAGACGGAGCCACAAATCAGTTTAGACAAATCACTGATCATTTGAGGCCGGTGGTCCTTGATCGTGTAAAGAAACATTCTCCGGTGTCCTTTCTTTCTTTTTTCTTTTTGGTAACATTCAGCCAGAAGTTAGTAATCACATGACGAAAGGCTGTTTTGCTATCAAAAAGTTCCACCCTTCACAAAAAGAAATAAATAAACCTTTCCTGTGTTTTGAAAAATGCCTAGTAAGGAAAAATGCCCTGTAATGTCCTTCTACCTTTTTGCTGCTTAGTTTATCTTCACTTTAGCTTCCTACATATTGGGACACCCAAACCAGGTTCATTTCCCCAATTCCTCACCTATAGATTAAAGCGGTGCGAGCCAGGGAATTTGCTACAGTACTGTATTCTGCTGAAGGTACAACCCACCATTGTCAACCCATAAATTTCTCGCATACCAAACAAGGACCAACTTAACTTCAAGAACTTTGGTTTATTCTGCTAACACACTGTGTGGTTATTTGCATTAAGGAAGAGGGAAGCGAGTCGTGCAGAAAGTGAGATAATCCAGCACTAATTTGGTTTCCACCCCCTTGCTTCTGAGAGTTCAGAATTTGCGATAAGCAAAGTTGATAAAAGTCTCAAGGAGATACCTGTTGTGTTGGAAACAGTGTCTTTTTAGGAACGTGATGTATTCTGAGGTATGTGCTCTGCATACCGTGATTGTCAAGCTCATATGCAATATTGTATGTTTTTAAGCACAAAATCTAAATATACCGAACTTGGCTGTTGACAAACAGAACAGGTCCTTAAGCAGTACTGGTGAGGGCATCTGGAGGTACTTCTGATGGATGCTCATCAAAGCTTCTACAGCTCTCACCGTAAGAGGAAAATTTGCAGTGGAAAAATTCTGCATATATTTCCCAGGAATTTACACAATAAGCAAGACTTTACTTCCATTTTAGGACTGATCAGCATGGAGAACTCATTAAAATAAATTAGTAAATGTTTACTGCTATTAAAGAGGCCAAGACGATGTTCTTCCTGTTAAATCCAGCAACTGTATCCTAGCTTCAGAGTTGATATTTAGTTATTAATGATTCTGAATTTTGTAGAGAACAAAACTTATTTCGCTATGTAATAGTGGTTGTAAAATGATATTTTCTTACAAGTATTTTTGAAAGGAATTCCATCATGAAAATATTTACATTTTTTGAAAGTTGTATTATTTTCACAGAGAAATATATCCTCCAAATCAATTTTTGTTTATTTTTGTCATTGGTAATTAAAAGTATTTTCTAGATCATAAATAAAGTGTACAAGAAATGATAGGTGTCAAACATTGCAAATCTATCTGTTTGGTACTAAATTGTAAAGTAACTGAAAATATTTTTCTCTTGTGTAGAATTTTAGAGATAGCTAAAGGGGAAGGAACTAATTTACCATTTTTCTTTATAAAAGCGATATCTACTTTAGCTGAATATTTGTTCACTCCTGGACAGCTGGTCAAATTCAAATCAAATTTACTTCTGGAAGTATAGTTACACAAATAATTGAAACATTCTGAGTGGGTTTTTTTTTATTAAATACCATATTTTTCGGTATATAAGATGCACTTCCTCCCCCCCACACAAAAAAGTGGATGGAAATGTCTGTGCATCTTATACAGCAGGGGTCTCCAACCTTGGCAACTTTAAGACTTGTGGACTTCAA